CTTCAATTGTGCTACCACCACTACCACATATGTCCTTTGCTAAACCATCTCTTGACATATCAAAGACTGAAGTTTTTTATGGCAACAACCTCAAAAGGTGGCAAGAAAGAGTTTTCTCTATCCTAAATGTGCATGGAGCAGCTTTCGCGCTTACGAAAGCCAAACCAATTGATAATAAGCTGCTAGAACAATGGACAACTGCTAATAAGTAATGTAGGCACATAATTATTAGTACGCTTTCTAATGAATTGTTTGATGTCTACTATTCGTGCTAAAAAGAAAAATAAATATGGGACTCCAATAACTAGAATTTCATGTATTTGTGTCTTAATTGCCTTAGCTTCAATTAACAAACTTTTTTGTTTACCAAATGGATATTAAAATAGCTTTTTCTAAATGGTGATTGAGAAGAAGAAATTTACATGGTACAACCTAATGTATTCTTCCTGGCCAAGAAAACAGAGAGTTTGTAAACCTCGTAAATGTTTATGTGGTTTAAAGCAAGCACCAAAATAATGGCATGAGAAATTCGATCAAGTTCTAGTTAATTATGAATTTTCCTCTATTTGAGTAGATAAATGCGTGTAAACAAAAACTGTTGATAGTGAATCTATTATTATTAGCTTATAGTTTGATGACATGCTTATTTTTGGTACATGCATTGATGTTGTGAATAAAAAAATATATCTTTTTGACTTCTAAATTTGATATGAATGATTTGGGAGAAGCTAATGTTATTCTGGGTGTTAAAATTATAGGACGTGATATTGACCTAATGCTTACCCGAGAGCATTATGTGGAGAGGCTACTTAGAAAATATGGAAACTTTGATGCCACACCTGTAAGTACTCCTTATGATGTTAATACCCAATTAACAAAAATAGAGGAGATATTGTGGCTCAGTCTAAGTATGCTCAGATTGTTAGGAGTCTAATGCATTTAATGAACTACCCTCGACCTGATATGGCTTATGTTGTGTGTAGACTGAGCAGATATAAACAAAATTTCAATCGTGATCATTGAACTGCCTTTGAGTAGAGAAATGATATATTTGAGAAGAACCATTAACTATGGCATTTTATATAGTTGATTTCCCACTATATTAGAAGGATATAATGATTCTAACTGGATTTTAGATTTAGATGAGACAAATTCTACCGGTGGTTAACCCACCTACGCATGGCCGAGTTGATAGGCGCTTTCCTTCCCTCAGAGAGGTTCTGGGTTCGAATCCCCGCTCGGTTCTGTAATTTAAGTGGAGGGCCCTGGCGGTGGGTTGCTGGGCTAGTCTCCCCCGAGGTATAGGCCCCCCGATTATCTGTGTGGGCTCGTCTCCGGGGAATGGTGGCGGATCCTCGGTTACCAAAAAAAAAGAAAATCTACCGGTGGTTATGTGTTCACCCTTGGTAAAGGTGTTGTAACTTGAAAATCAGCCAAACAAACAATAATTTCTAAATCCACCATGGAGTCGGAATTTGTAACTCTAGAATTGGCTAGCAATGAGGTTAAGTGGTTAAAAAACTTCTTAGCAAATATTCCTTTGAGAATGAAATTGACACCTTGTGTGTCCATGCCTTGTGATTGCCAAGTGGTAACAAACATTACAAAAAAATAAAAACTTCAATGGTAAAAATAGACACATTCTGTTGAGATATGATGTGGTATTGTGGTAATGCAGCTGCTTAAAGATGAAATTATCTATTGATTATGTGAAGTCAAAAATAAATTTGGTGATCCTCTAACTAAACCGTTGGGAAGAAAACTAATTAATGATACATCGAGAGGAATGAGGGCTAAGCCACTTGAGAAAAATCAACAATGATGGTAACCCAACTTATGTGATTGACGATCTCAAAATTAGGTTCATACGTGTAATAACAAATCACTTGTTGATCTAGTGGTGTATTAAATTATAGTATACATTCGATGGAATTGCCTGTATAAGTGTGGAGTGAGGCTGCTATTATGAAATTTTTGACAAAATCTCTAGAACACTTATGAATAAATCAGGTATGCGCATGGCCTATTAGTGCAAAACCACTTTGAATAAAAAAATTGTGGGGATGTAATGTGATTGGTAAAAATATAATTCACCAAGAAATTCTTAGTTCATAGAAATTTCAAACTTCACCAATAATTATGTTAATTATATTTCATTCCTTCTAGGTCCGATTCATAGCCCAAAAGGCACTAGTTTCAATGCAGTACATGCAATTGATTTTAACCCGGTATAATATGAAATAAGTGGGAGACTATTGAAAATTCCAACAGTTTCGAAAATTTGAAAGTCATTATTTTGTGACGATTTTATAGCAGTTTTGACGGTCATCAACTTAATGACTATAAATTGTTTTGTAAGGGTTTTGACAACCATCAATTTTATAAAAACGACTTGATTTTTAAATATATGACAGCTAGCTAATAGGATAGCTGCTAGAGTATATTGCACCGAGTTTCATACTCTGATGGACAGAATTATCCTTAAGGACAATGTTTGCACACCTCAAACAATTGATGTTATTTTCATTTTCTCCATTTTTGTTGACTTTTTTTTGTGTCGAACCATTTTTGCAGACTCAAATTGCAGAATAAAGAAGGATATTAGGAATGCAAATATCGAGTAGTATGTGATTGGCCATCAAGTTGAAAAAAAGCAAATGTGAAATCTATATCATAAGCATATACACTGAGTGTGGATGATGATATGGATTGAGATGTAAAAAAAAATCATATCTTTTCCAATCCCAAAATCCAGCATTTGACTAATGATATGTGAAGTCAACAGAAGAGAAATTTTTTGCGATGCTTAGGTTTTAATTTTGCTGATTTAAAACCATCGGTGGCAAAATCATGTAAAAATTTAGGGGTTGAGCTTTCTGGGAGTGGGGCATGGATGTCAGGTTCAGTGTAGTTAGTGTTTTCTCCTTTTAGTGCTTTGTAGAATTCATGTCAGGCAAAATGAAAACCAAATCATTCGGACTCCGAAAGATTGTATCTTTCGATTCATAAAGACATTTTTGCGGAATCTCAGTTAATTCCATAAAGCAAAACTGATACTTTCCTTGTAAGAAGAGGAAACCAACGTTTCTCTTTCTTACCTCACTTTAAACCTTTGAAAAAATAAGCCTTTTTTTTTCCTCTCCCCCACTGATTTGGCACCCCCTTTCAAAATCGATAGCATCAGAATTATGTAAACTCAAGCGATGGAAACCCCACAAGGATTCTTGTTGTCATACATGTACAAGGCACTAATGGAGTGCTACATTGCTTTAAAGATGAAGAGGGAATGATGAGCGTGTCCCACCTCATCACACACTACTCACTGTTCTGGCCTTTTCTCTTAATCAAACATCGACATCATTGCATGATGCTTTCAATCACGAGAAGGGTACTCATTATATGGGATTTTACTTCAGGTTATCATTCAGCCTTTTCTCTTTGTTGACGCACTTAACTAATTGTAATTTGCTTGAGAGAATAGAGAGCCAGACGATTTCTGCGACTTTGACTGCATGCAGGATGATGTGCGCGCAGTGGCTAAAAAAGAAAGCTCGGCTAAAAAAAAAAGTCCAACTCAACAAGACATATTTTCTCAATGGCCTTTTTGACCCGCTATAAAGCGTCCTTGCTCAAAAACCTTTCTCCTCCGTAATCCTCACAACGCATCGCACGATTACTGTTGCCCACATGCATTATTGAGCGTGGATGTCTCGCATCACACAAATTAGCGGCGAAAGGATTAGGGGAAGGGAATGATATCATGTAGCAGAGAGCTCCCGTGCATAGGAAACGTGGAGATGCTTATTTGGCAAAGCGCAAACGTAATTCTCGACCACTACAACAGTAAAATCTGATGTTCTGCATGCTTTATTTGGCAAGTAATGTGAGTCTTAAGCGGGTGGTTAGAGAAAGGACGAGGTGTTTAAGACAAAAATGGCATTAGTATATAGTACAGATCAGAGAGAGAGAGAGAGAAGGAGCGCCAATAATGCAATGTAGGATAGCAGACAGAGGGTTGCTTTTTGGGTACTTGGGGAATAAAATGCTGTCTCTCTACGAGGATTGGCGCGAGAGAGAGAGAGAGAGAGAGAGAGAGAGGGAGCCTTTTTCTCTCTCTTTAGATCAAACCAATATTGTGAATATTTACGCATAAACGACAAATGGCAAACGAGAGGAAGGAAATGAAAAAGAAGGGAGTTTTAGCTTGGTCTCCTGTAATCTTTGCCTCTTTCTACCTTTGCCCTTTAGTACTTTTTCTCGAATTTCTGATGGCTTTCTCTGTCCATTCAAAGGGTGATGTGGGAAATTAAGAAAAGAAAAGAAGAGAGGACAAAAGCTCTCTCAGAGAGTTTTGAACTGCGGACCCCACACGCGACCCCTTCTCTGCGTAACCCACATTTTCGTAGCTATGAAACCCCCCCCCAAAAAAAAAACGATTATCAATTGCATGCATCGCATTATCATATTACGTTCAATTCTATCTAAATCTTTAACTGAGATTTGCATGCATGCTGTGGCAGTGAAAACGGAGATTAAATAACCGAGTCTCTTGTAGATTACAATCTTCTGTTGCAGCTTTCCATCACCAGATCATCTTGGAGTTGATTATCTAAGAGGCACAGGTGAATCATGCCATTAAAGTTTCCTCCCCATCCGATGATATTTGTAAGTCCCCAGAAACCAAAATGATTATTATAAAGCGACTTTAGTCTTAATTATCACCAAAACAAGCACCTACAATTCTAGTGAGATATTAATTAGACCGGCCTTGGTCTTCACAAAAGAATGATGGGGTACTACCACCACTGTCTGTGACAAGTTAAAAAACCGGAGAGAGAGAGAGAGAGAGAGAGAGAGAAAAAGCAAATAAGTGGAAATAAAAAGGCTGAAAAGCTATATTGATCAGACACAATAGAAAAGAGAGCAACAAGGGGGGGAAAGAAATAAAGTAAATAAACAGCTCTCATATGGCGAAGAAGTATAAAGAAGGCTGCTCGGTCTAGTCTTGTTTTTCTAAAGCACATACTCAGCTTCCTTCATCGTCTCTCTCTCTCTCTCTCTCTCTCTCTCTCTCTTCCACGACCGTCATAAGAAACCAACCTATTCCCATTAGAGAAACGTTCCTGAGTCTTGCAAGACTCTCAGTTTCAGCTTAGCCAAACAAAGGAATAGAGAAAGAAAGCCAGAGCCTGAAGCCGGCTTTCTAGGTCTCTCTTAACTTGAAGTTAAGAAAGATTTTTTTTAAGGGGGGTTGGGGTTATCTTCACGCACCACTCAACAGAGAAGAAACAGCTCAACAATAGTCCCAAAACAGTGAGCTGGTCACAAAAGGGGGGGGTGGTGAGGGGGGGTTTCGGTCAAGTGTGATGCGTGCAGGAGCTTACACGGTCCAACAGACCCTCACAGCAGAGGCTGCTTCAGTCCTGAAGCACTCTCTCAGCCTTGCAAGGAGGAGAGGCCATGCCCAGGTCACTCCCCTGCATGTCGCTGCCACTCTTCTGAGCTCAAGGTCGAGCCTTTTGAGAAGAGCCTGTCTCAAGTCTCAGCCGCCTTCTTCTCATCCTCATCCTCACCACCATCATCCTCTCCAATGCAGAGCTCTTGAGCTTTGCTTCAATGTCGCGCTCAACAGGCTTCCCACGACCCCAGGCCCAATGCTCCATGGCCAACAGGCCTCTCTCTCCAATGCCCTGATCGCCGCCCTCAAGAGAGCCCAGGCCCACCAGAGGAGGGGTTGCATTGAGCAGCAGCAGCAACAGCCTCTCTTGACCATCAAGGTCGAGTTGGAACAGCTGGTCATATCCATCCTAGATGACCCGAGTGTGAGTCGGGTCATGAGAGAGGCTGGCTTCTCTAGCACCGCAGTGAAGAGCAACATAGAGGACTCTTCGGCTTCTTCTGTGTTCCAGTGTTACGGCTCCTCCGGTGGAGTCTTCTCTTCCCCTTGCTCTCCTTCTCCTGCCGACACGGCCCAACAGCGAGAAGTGGTCATAAACCCTAGTGGCAGTTTCTGGCAGACCCACTTGTTCAACTACTCTCCCGAGCAAAACCCAGTTCTGTTCTCTCCCCACAAGAGAGTTTTGAGCAACTGCTTCGTCGCAGATCCAGTTAATAATCCTGTGAAGGAGGAGGACGTCAAACTGGTTCTTGAGGTACTGTTGGGGAGGAATAAGAGAAGGAATGTTGTGATAGTGGGTGACTGCTTTTCACAGAATGATGGCCTTGTTGTAGAGCTGATGGCAAGAATCGAGAAAGGAGAGGTTCCTGAGGAGCTAAAATCAGCCCACTTCATAAAGTTTGAATTTGCACCCGTTCCCCTGAGGTACATGAAGAGAGAGGACGTGGAGTCAAACATGTCAGAACTGAAGAGGAAGATTCATGATCGTTCTGTTGCATCTGGATCAAGTGGTGCGGGTGTAATAATCTATACGGGAGACTTGAAATGGACCTTGGAAACGAGAAATGGTGGGGTTGAAAAAAACGGTGAAGTGTCAGCGGTATATAGCCCAGTGGATCATCTTGTTACTGAGATGGGAAGGTTATTATCAGATTACTGTGGGGGTTCGAGTACAAAGGTTTGGCTAATGGCAACTGCAAATATTCAGACGTACATGAAATGCCAAATGAAACAGCCTCCTTTGGAGATTCAATGGGGTCTTCAAGCTGTTTCTGTACCATCTGGTGGCCTCGGATTGAGCCTCCATGCATCCAGGTCCCCTCTCTCTCTCTCTCTCTCTCTCTCTCTCTCTCTCTCTCTCTCTCTCTCTCCCCATTATTTTTGGTTTTGGCTGGTTCACATGTCTTATTATTGTATATTTAGCTTTAATCATTGTGTCTTCCATTTCCGGTCATTCTTTTGAACGTTGCGTTTGTATTTTAGTGATCTGAGGGTGAATGGTATCAAAATAAGATCTGAAGCGCCTGTCAAGAAAAAGTATGCTTTGTGGAGAGACAGGCGTGAATGACTGTCCCTTTTGTTTCTTACATTTTTCTTTTGTCAGCATATACTTTACCTTGTAACATGATTATTCTTCACTTAAGAAAATTTCAGTAGCTCTAAAATTTTTGACGCAGACAAAATTTCTTTACAGATCGGAAAAAGAAAATTCCGCAGCATAAAGAGATTAGCTGTCTGGACTTTCGGCGACCAATTTGACTTTCTGCAATTTGCCTTTCGGTTTTCATGGAACTTCTTCTTATTCTGAGATAGGGCGATGATTACTCTAGGATTCAGGAAGTCCTAGGAACGACCCATATATATTGTAGCTTTTATTACTTGAACCATGAAAGCAAAATCTAGTATTTGTTTTGTGTTCCCACTGAAAAGCTTTTATGAAGTGATAATTAAATAAATCATGACAGTACTTACTGACCATGAAATAAAAAAGAATCCAGTTAAAGTTAGTGAAACGTGAGAAAGGATAACACAGATCTGGGAAAAAAGACCATGAGAATTTTTCTTGACTAGACCATGCCAGTTCCAACAGTGATCATGAATTTTTTTCCGAATTTTGGGAATGGGCTTTTTCTAAGTACTTAACCAACTCCTTTGTGTGTGTGTGTGTGTGTGTGTGTGTGTGTGTTAACTTTGCTACGTTTACAGGTAAAAAAATTGCTAACAGTCAGTTTCTCTGAGTTGCGTCCGTTTATGACACATAAAGAGGCACTACTCAGAGGATACTTTTGTCTTTCTCTCTTTGGTTTCTTGTTGTCTACTGAGGCCCTTTCTTCTTGCAAACACTTCTAACATGTACATACATCCATATGTTGCAGCAACAGCGACTCAAAACGACCATTGGCGAGTCCACCTCAGGTGCTGGACATAAAGCATCTGAGCAAGGAGGAAGGAGATGGCCTCACTTGTTGTGCTGAGTGCACCTCCAACTACGAGAAAGAAGCTGACCTATTTAAGTCTAACCAACAGAAACTTTTGCCGTCCTGGCTCCTAGGACAAGGCAATGATGCTCTCCGCAAGGTACATTCGTACAAAATTGGTTATGTTCTTATACCTTGCATTGTTTTTTTTTTTGGTAAGGTTATACCTTGCATTGTTCATTTATAGTAATCTACAAAAAACCATACTCTTATCAAGTACATTGTACTAGCAATGCACTTACCTCTAAAGTTGTGTAATTTACAGGAAGACTTGGCTGAGCTGAGGAAAAAATGGAACAGAGTATGCCATGGACTCCACCGGGACAAGACAAGGAGCTACGGTGCTTCCACCTTGTATGGAAATCAAAGTTCCATGGGAAAGGCCTACTGTAGCACATTGTCACACCCTTGGTGGCCTACTCAGAGCACCATCTTCCCTGATGCAAATTCAATCTCGTTTGCTAGCTCACCATGGAAGCCCAATCAGGGTTCCAATACTGTGCCCCGTTTCAGACGGCAACAGTCCTGCACCATCGAGTTCAATTCTGGTGCCTGGACTGAGAATAAGCATGGTGGGCCAGAGCCAAACTTGTATCCTCTCAAGAACACCGAAGGAAAGGAGGTGAAGATCACCCTCACTCTTGGCAATTCCCTTTTCGATGATCCAGGGAAACTGGCAGAGCAGAATATTGAGAGGATGTTGCTGCGAGGTAACATGCGACGGTTGCTTCAGGATAATGTGCCGTGGCAATCTGAAACAATTCCTGCAATTGTGGAGGCCTTGTTCGATGCCAAATGCACCAAGAAGGATAGTTGGCTACTGATTCTGGGAAATGACACTGTCGGAAAGAGAAGGTTGGCGCATTCGATTGCAGAGTCGATGTTTGGGTCAGCTGATTTCCTTTTCCAGATGAACATGAGAACAAAGCGTGGTAAGGAGGCCTCATCAGATGAAATAGAGGCAAGGACCTCAAAGCATGATGACAAACTTGTGGTTTTGGTGGAAGACATTGATTTGGCTGACAAGCAATTTATTAGGTACCTCGCTGACCGATTCGAGACTGGAAAATTTACAGATTCAAGCCGGGGAGAACAAAACCAAGGTCAAGTTGTGTTCATATTGACTAGTGGGGACTCCACGGGCTATGATAGTCGAATCAGACAGAATTCAGCAGTTCAGATGACTGTAAAGGTCATTGAAACAACAACCAATTCTAATCACAAGAGGAAATCCGAGTGGGGCTTGTCAGATAAGATGAAAAATCCAAGAACAGATGGGAACGAGAGCGCATATTTGGGTTCCTTTGAGAAAGGAAACATCGAGGAAGTACTCTCAAGGCAGTCCAGCTTCAATGCCATTGATCTAAATATGAAGGCTGACGAGGACTACGAACCTGGCGGGAAACCTGAGGACTTGAGCCCCAATTCAAGTGACTTGACCCGTGAAAGTTCAGGTGATATCCAATGCCCGCAGTCCTTCCTGGAATTGATTGAGAACCGGTTCACCTTTAACCGAAGCCTGACTCGAGATAGTGAGATGACGGAGTTTTTCTTGTCCATGATAAAGAAATCTTTCGAAGGGGTATACGGGGATGGAAATAATGTTAGATTTAGTGTAGAGGAGGGGGTTTTAGAGGAGATAGTAGCTGGTGGGGGGTTTTTTCTGAACAGTTTGTTTGAGAAATGGTTAAAGGACATTTTCCAAACAGCCTTGCAAATAGTCACAAGTAAGGAGAGGGATGGTATAAGTTTTAGGCTCTGTTTAGGGGGTAAAGGTGAAGGAAACTTGGAAGAAGGGTACATGAGCACATGCCTACCCAAGAAAATCCAAATTTCCTATGGGGACTAATCTGTTTATGTAACTTGCTAATGTTCATAAGGGGATGTGTTTATTTGGTTTGGTTCACTATTTTTTGTCAGCCTTCTCCCTGTAGACTCTCTCTCTCTCTGTGGAAACACAAATCAGCTAAGAATACTAAACATGTAGAGTACACAACAAATGTGTTTCGCAGTCAGGCATTAGGACAATAAAGGAAGTCAACAATCATATATATCCATCCGAATCTCAGAGACAGTGGTTAGATTTGCTTTGAGCGTCCGAGGGTAGGAAGTGACACCATCTAAGACTCTTTCAGGTGATGATCGACGTGCGGACTTAAATTGCTCTTTCAGCCTTGCATTTGAACTAATTGATCCGTAGTCGATTTCATTTCTCGTAATTGGCATGCCCTTCTGAAAGCAGGCTGTCAGGCGATCTTTTTGGTCCCTTTTAACCAAATCAAACCCGCACTGTTGAGAGCATATTAACCTTGAGCAACATACGTCCCTTCCTACTCCACTTCTTCTGCGATGGATTCTCTCTCTTTCTTCAACCCTCCTGTGCATATCATCTTCCGAGTTCTGTTGTTAGTGCGAGAAAAAAATGGTGTGTCCGCATCTAGCGTAATAATATATAACCTTGACATGATATACTCCTCCTCCCACTAAAAGAATCTGTAAATATATTAATCAAATATAGTAAGTGAGGATTACCGTACCCACAATCGACATTAAAAACACGATGAACAGTCGACGATTGTGCATTAAGAATGTGCATCATAAACTATAAAGTGGAGCAAAGATCATAGAAGATTACAAAGTGGGGAGCTTAGGACCGGGAGGATGTGGAATTCACTTAAGCAACCAAAGTTTATAAAGAGCCCTTTCTTTGCATAAATAATGTTATCCTGAGCAAGATCGACGTCTATCGCTTCATCCACTGTTTTGACTGCAACAAGTGGTCACTTGTATGATGAGGCATTTAAAACCAGAGAAAGGAGTCATCATAACCTTTTCTATTGGCTTCTATAAAGACGGAGGAACGCATCTTCTTCTCCACTACGAGCCAATGACACTTTCTAGTTCAAAAATCCCTTCTTTAGAATCTACATCATTACTTTGACTCTAAAGGCTTCATAATAAACCAAGATATCATTGCATCAAACGGCGGATGTGGGACCTGTCTTCCTATCATCGAACACATAATAATTCCCTCTCTCTCTCCAATTTGCGATATGATACTCAAACTTGCCCTGCTTTAGAAAAGTTGTCAAGTGTCCTAGTCCTAGTTCATTGAGAAAGTTGTCTATAATAGGGGAATGACGGGCATAATCCCGTTAAAATCCAATACCTAACATAATACTTTCCTCCGCCAAATTGATTGATGATCCATTAGCTGGACCATATATGTAGAATAATCGTACAATTATTATATGTTTTTCGTTTAGTGAGCCATGGATGTCTTCAATCACTTTCCTTCAGCTGACATATCCCTAACCAATCTCATTTCCCACTTTTAGCCACTAGTTCAGGCCCTCCATTTTCCTGGTGCTTGCTTTTGGATCTTGTCAACAAGCGCCCCTTGGGCACTAGTTGAGTTAACTAAAAATGGAAATAACACTTTCTTAGACACTTTGAAAATGGAAGAACTGTACACTTTAATGAACTTACGTTAAATCGAAAAACTTTAAATTTCCAAAGCACATTTAGGGTATGTTTGTTTTGGTTAAAGTGTTTTCCCGGAAAGTATTTTCTGGACTTTCATCCGTTTAGTTCTCCGAAAATGATTTGATCAACGAAAAATACTTTCCGGTCAAAATAAATATCATTTTTAATTTTAGGAAAATAAATTCTCTTATCTAAGAAGGTGAAAACATTTTCTGAAATTGCTTATCTTTAATTTGTCGATAATTTTTATTTTATTTTATTTTCTTTTCTTTTCTTTTTCTTGTCTTTCTAAGAAGGAATACATTCATGTATTTTCTTTTCTTAATAAAAATAATTTAAAAATAATAAATAATTTGAAATAATTTAAAAAATACAAAAAATTTTGATAATTTTCACCATCAGATTTTCCTCACCAAATAACTTAAAATACTTTCCAAGTCTTTTTTAGGTTTTATCCAAACACCGAAAAATGAACCCATTTTCCTGAAAAATGATTTCCCGAAAAACATTTTCCAGGATACGTTTTCCATGAAACAAAGGCACCCTTAATAAGTTTCGATAAGGGCCCAAGGACACTCATTAACATTTTCCCTCTGCTTTTTTATGGCCTTTGCGAATTCCACTGGCAAGTTCTCCCTGCAATTGTGTCGCTGGCATTTGCATGACATGAAAATTAAACCTGCATTATTTGGTTATTCGATTCAGGAGAAGAGTTATGTTCCCCCGCTTAGACAGAACTCCGAGGGAAACGCCGAGTACAAACATGATCAATGAGAATATTCACTGAACTATCTGTCTGTAGCAGTTACAGTTATGTAAGAAAACTGCAGAAATGCAAAACTCAGAAGACAACGACCTATGCCATCACTGTCCCAAGTATCACCCGCACAAAGGTCTAATATATCTCAAGCAAATGACCTCCCAGCCTGCTGTTCACCCTCTCAAAATTCAGATTGTGTTTTACTTAATCTCTCTCAAGATTCCAACAAATGGAAGCACTTTATCCAGTTCCTTAAATCCAGAAAGAACCGTAAAAATTACTGCAAATTTTGGAAGTACAGACCATAGATGCAGGGACAAAAATGTTCTGAACACAGGAACTCTTGATCTTGGGAAAAAAAAATTGCTCTGCAAAAATCACTAATGAGTTTGTCTGAGATGTACAATGATTTTACAGCTTTTGACCCGTGAAATATACATACTCTTGATAGTAGCTGCTAAAGAAAAGGGACAAGGCCGATAAATAAAAAATCGGGCACAACACTCATATACAAAGAATGACACACAGGAAGCTAATCTACAATTTGGTGTATCTACAAACAGGGCTCCTATAAAGGGTGAATAATCCTAATAAATCTCACCCCCACAAAATGTAAACTATTTTTTCAGCTTCAAACCAAGAAATTAATTGTTGGGTGCAAAGCTTTCGGTTAAAGACGAAGTCTTGTGCTGAAAAATGTCAGATAAACCTAAGGCAATTTCAAGGTCGAGTAAAGGTTTTAGTCTCTTCTCTACCTCATCACTCTGCAGATCTGTCTCTTCGACAATCATAGACAAAGCAGTCTTGCAGGACTCCTCATCCCTAAATGCCAGGGTCCACCTCCCATCCACCAAAGCTTTTGACTTCACTTTTCCATCCGAAGTTTTTGTGGGATCCAAAAAAGGTATTGAGGACGGGCGGATTCGCAAGTGTAACCACTTTGGGTGCTTATCATCGATTCTTGGCTGAAGACACAAGGAAGCAAACACATTTATGCAAAATTTAGAAGCCAGCTTTGAGAAGATTAGATTCCTCATGATCAACAACACAATCGATTTGACGAAATAAGTGACAAAACAGAAACGACACAATTGCACCAGCTTTCCGTACATTTGAACCGGCCAAAGGTGCAGCGACTCGGATAATTCCATGGTTCTGCTTCAATGGTAATTCTTCAGCGAGAATAAGCCATCCTGAAATTCCCGCAGAGACAGCAAGAAAGCGAAAGTGACGTTCTTTACCCCTCTCGAAGGCAATTCTACATGGTAGAGCATCAACTGCAGAGGACCATAAGCAGCAACGTTAAGTAAACCACATGATAATCCTACAACATCTTAAGTTACACAAATCTGACTTGTATGAAATCTGAAAAGTTGACAAAGGAAAAAAAGTTATATCTTCTCATGAACTTGACCCAAACCTTTAGAATTAACTCCAGGAAAAGGGCGTTTTACATATTCGTTTTAGTCGAGCCCAATTTTCAGAACCTTCGGTGTTCAAGTTTGTTAAGGTACCAGTGGTGAATAACCCAATGCATTTAATTAGTCATAGAGGAAAGTTCTACTCGTATTCAGCAAAACATAAAATAAAACAAGTACCATCCATGAATCTATCTGATTTCTGGAAACAATAACTTTTGAAAAACCCTCTTCAAAACCAGTTTATAATAACCAGAAAAAAGATTAGAAACAACATACATATTCTATCAGAATCCAATTTCCAATCTACAATGAGGAGAGTAAAGAACTCTCATTAGCACTAGTCTTCGGGTGGATAGTCCACTATTTGTCAACAATATGCATTCTTTACCGTTGTAACTCAACTTCAATTTAACAGTAACATTAAATTCTAGATAAATCCATAAATGAGTAAACTTTTGAACTTATGTTGGACTTACCAACATTTAATTCAGTACCAGGCTTTGGAACAGAAACATCGAGTCCAGATGTTTTTGCACGTGAATTTTCAGGGGGATCACCTTGTGGATTAATAGAAGGCTGCTCTGGCAAAGGTTTACCAAGGGAAAATAGCTGAAGTTGATGAAGTAGTACAAACACCTAAAACAAAAGCCGGAAACTATTAGGTATATAGAGAACCACTCAGCTGGCAAAAGATATAAAGATATTCTCTCAGAAAACCAAATGCAACCACGTGAATTGCAAAGCAAGGGTTTAGAGGAGGAGGAATCTTGAGAAGATCATTTCCCACAAACCACTACTGAAATGAACAAAACAAAGAAGCAACATATCAAACGTTACTGTAGACAGAAACAAACCTTTACCACCTCACACATCCTTTCACCAGCAGGGATGGATGATTCACTTGAAGCAACCTCTGTTAAAAGAAAGAGAAAGACTTATCATCTGCAAAGTGGAAAAGTTATATGGTACATAAATCACTGTGAAGAGTACACCAGTGAGATGTTAAAAAAACATAGTGGTGAGTATTATCTTGACTTCTGGGAGAATAACTAGTGACTTTTACCTTCATGGAACTTCCACTGTAACAAGAGTATGCTCTTGGGCTCCTTTCTGGGGGATGAAGCCTCAATTGCTAGAAATGGAATACAATTCTTCAGACGCATAAACAAACCACATGTAAGACCAGACAAGGTTTGGAAACTACGTCAAATACCTCTTTTGCACTTCTTCCACTCATTA